AACTAACGTTAAAGAATTATGGCAGGATGATCAAGTTGGTATCCAAAGCATGGAAATGTTAAAAGTGAGAGCTTCCCTTGAGGAAAAATTGAAGCAGACAGGTGTCTTAAGTTCCATTGCACGGAAAAATGAAAAAGAAAACAAGCGCTCACGACTACTGAATGGGTATCAATTTGCTTCGCAATTTATTGCTCCACCTACCTCTTCTGTTAGTCTACATAGCTTAATGCAAACATGAAATCACTGATGGGAAGTGCAATGAATTATATGCAGGATGTTGGCAACTCCTGATGATTTTGATGATGATGCCATGGGTGCTGAAGATGATCGTGAGACACGAAGTTTAAACAAGCTGTCTAGGCTTCTAACTTCTCAAGTAGCAAGACCCAAGGTGTGGATCACAAATGCTTTAATTCTGTCTTCATTTTGTTGATTTTCTTGTAAATAAATGTCTTTTATTTGAGTGTATGCAACTGCATTGAGATTGATTCTCTGAACTTGTGGAATTTGACAGTCTTTTCAACTTCTGTCTCTGTGGATGGCTCTCTTCCGTTATAGAGTTGCCTCCTTTTCCTTTATTGGTGGTCACTCTAATTGTTTTCCCTTATTCCTTCTTGCTTCTCTTATAGCAATTCCCAAGTATTTGAAAAAAAAAGAAAAGGAAACCTTCTTTGACCTTGATATTTATTAATGGCCAATTGATTTGTGACGGAGCGAGTATACCGTTGCACGTATTTCCAGGAAGTTGCATCTTTAGATGTTGCGATTGAATGAGGTTGTAATTTATGTTATTTGAGTCGTATTTAGCACCACTTTGACTGGATGCTATTGTTAAGTTTTTAGCTCTAGTGTGCTTATCTGAGTGACTACAACTGTGTTTCTACTGTTTGATGTCACAGTTTTCTAATTTGTGGCAATTAGGATTATTTTGAAGCCTTCACGTTGGCACATGTTGTGTTTAGCTGCTCTTCATTTTCGGGTTCCAAAAATCTCTCTTTTTTTTTTTTTTTTTTTTGATAAAGTAAGGTATCACTGATAATAACAAGGCTTACTTGGCTGTATACACGAGATATACCAAAAACGTAGAAACCTACAAATATGGTTCTCTCCAAAAGACACCCAATCCTCTATACAAACAAGAACATGGGTGCACCAAAGACAATGAGGGATAGGAGACTACTTCTCAATTTAGCAAAGCTCATCCGCACCCCTTCAAAAGCTCTCTTTTTTCACTCTTTCAAAATGCTTAGAGCTAGAGGAATAACATTCCACGCCTTGTGCCTTTTTTCTCCTAGCTCCTCTCTTCCAGCTGACATCAACTCCTTCACGGATCTTGGCATCCCATAACCTCGTGGCTAATTTACAATGTTACAGAATACGATCCATGTCCTCACCACCATCCTTACATAAGAAACACTAGCTCATGTAGACGACCTTTCGCTTTCTAAGGTTCTTTGCCGTCAAAATCACCCCTTACAAATATCTGTATTACGAGATCAAAGAAATACAGTGTGGTTGAATAATTATGCAAGCTGTTACTACTGACAATATTAAGGTACTGCAAACAATATATTCGCTTTTTTGCTTTATCAAAAAAATAATTATATGGATACTAGGGGCCATTAAAGGGGGAAGCACTCCTTACTAGGAATTTCTTCATTCCCAGAGCTCGAACTTGACGACTACATGTGTGTATTTTGCTTCTGTTAAAGTGGACTTCTGTTAGTTATTTTTCTTGCATGGAATCTTTTTCTGCTTTCAAAATTCGCTAGTATGTGTCCTGTGATTTAACCTAATTAGATGTATTATAATAAGTTTTGTTCCTTTTGGAAGATAATTTCTGGTGATGATGATTTACCTAAACGAGATGACATTGGAGAAAGGAGAAGAAAGCATGAACTGAGAGTTCTAGCCGGAGCCGGAGTTGAACCTACTGATGATGTCAACGATGAGCCTGGTGACCATGCTAGCGATGGCGTTGCTACTTCTGACGGCAGTGAAATGGACTCAGATATGGAGTTCTACAGAGAAGTCGAAAAACAACATTCAGCTAAGCTTGCTGCTAAAGAAAAGATGTATTCCAGGTTAGACTCAATATGTTTTAAGATTGTTAAAGCAAGTATGCTAAACTTCTTTCATGTGAAAGATTTCGAGAATGCCTTGACAATATGGATTATTATGTATATCCTTTTAAGTCCTGCAATTGTTTCACTTAATTCACCACAATTTGCCACTGTAGATCCCCAGCTATGCTGTCAACGCCAGAAACTGTTGTGGATGGGAAGCGCCAGATAAATTACCAGGTATGACATATCAGCTTTGCTGCCAATTGCAATCATGACATTCCTTCTTTCACTAAACTCAACGTTTCCTTATTTTCTAGATGGAGAAAAACAGAGGGCTTACTCGTAATCGTAAGAAGCAAGATAAAAATCCAAGGAAGAAATACAGGGTAAGTGGCTAAAACAGAATTACTTGTGCTTGGAAGAACCAGTTCCCTTATATAACAATGTTAACAAACTGTGTGTCTACTTCTCTCTCTCAGGGGAAACATGAAAAGGCTCAGAAACGTAGAGAAGGACAAGTTCAAAAAATTAAGAAACCAAGTGGTCCTTATGGTGGAGAAACTACAGGAATCAATGTTGGTATTAGTCGAAGTATCCGATTTAAGGGATAAAAGTCGCGTGATATGTGGTTTAAGCACACGTCTCAAAGTTCAAGTGCTTCAATAGACAGAAGCTTAGTATTTTAGTGGAGAATGGTAAAGTTGTGTACCCGTTATTCATCGAGTTCCAAACCTTGCATCACACTGGTCCTCGGGAATTTCTCGGTTATGAGTAAAAAGTGTAAGAGTTGATATTCTCTTTTCCAATTTTGTCACCCTTGGAAGGGGGGAGTGAAAAGTCTATGTTGTATTGGTCTCAACTTGCATAGTTTTGTAATGGCTAGCTTATAATTTTCTTGTTTTCACTTTCTATTTAGATTTTATAAAGCAATGCTTGCAATTAAATTGATTTCGAATAGGGGATATGTTGGTCTAAGTTGGTTTGAATATCACGGTTATTAAAAAAGAGCAAGAGTTGGGATGAACTATCTACTTTTTTGAGTTTCATATCTATTTAAACTCGATTAATTCAAATAAATAAAACTTATTTCCTTTTAATACTACTTATTCGTTTTTCCTTTTTTAAAACCTTTACTAAACTGATATGGTAATCGTATAGTAGTCAAATTACTTTTAAATACCAAATTAATTTAAATTTAATAGGATTTTTAACCGACACAATAATTCTTATAAATAGGGATTTGGTTTTTTTTTTTTTTTTCCAGAAAAAGGCCAAACATAATTCATCAATTTTCATCATGGATGCAAAACGTCAAAAGTGTATGCTCTCACTTTTTAACTAACAGATTTAAACGTCTAATTTATAGTTTTTTTTTTTTTACTTTGATACATACTTATTTAGTGTTTTTCGTTTTGATAGATCTATTGACAGCGAAACGAACAAAGCAAATTATCATTCAAGATGAAACTTCGACTTCGAATGGAGATATGATTCCATGGCGTTTATTAGTGAAATTATTTTTTCCAAAGTATCAAAATCGTATTATCCTAATGGTTAATCCGAATGATACAATTGGTACAATTAAAGCATACATTCAAGAGGAAAGGGGGATTTCTTTTAAGAAACAGAGAATTCTGAGCAAAAATGGTGAAGATCTGAGTGATGTGCAGAAACATAGAGATTCTTCGTTAATTCTTTGATATGCACACAGTCTACCCTCATATTTTATCTAATAGTTTTTTTTTGGATTTTGAATTTAATGATTTAAGATTTATTTGTATATACTTATTATTACATTCGATTGCAAACAGTTTACCCTCATGTTGTTGTTGGTTAATTGGAAAGGCATTGAATCAAGCAAAGATGGCACTCACTGAAATTGATCAAAATACAACATTTTAAATCCTAATGAATGAACTAGTAAACAATATATTAATTAATTAACTGCAGTTTCATAGGAACATATAGGAAAACTAATCAGTCTAATAGCCCAAAAAATAAGTATGCACTATATGGTTAGCTAATGGAAATTTCATTGGATGTATTCATATGTTCGATTGAATAAGAGACGAGATGATCATCATCATGCAAATATCAAAGAGCATGCTATTTTTGTGTAGACCTGGTAATTAAGAATTAGGATACAAGTGATTGGATACTATTGAAAGGTAACCTGTATTTCTTGATCTTGAGACTCAAACGTTGATTTGAGCTTAGCAACATACAAATTATATAAGCCAAATTCTCGATGACACTAATAAGAAAGACATTTGGATACTATTTCATGGTTATATGAATCTCTAGGCATACACGTGCAATGCACGTGAGATGAATCTAGTTTATATAAAAGAAAAAAATTTATCATCAAAGAGGTTAACACGAATCATGGCATCTTGATCAAGCTATTACTGATATTACTGCTACAGTATGAATTTCAGCTTTTATAAAGGTTCATTTTCAGAGTCCATTTTAGGCATCTAGGGACTACAAGAATTATGCGATTTTCTTAGTTTTTCATGTGTAACACCCATGAATATTTTGATGATATGATTTTTGAACGATGAGTGATAACAAACTCATTAATTTCAAGATGTGTTACGATTAATTATTAGTGATAATTCAGACAAAAAATAAAAATATCATAGATAGAAAATTCCGAAAAAAATGACATGAAGTGTCATTTAGTGCAATTTTTAAAATAAAACAGAAAGTATACATCATGCATCATCAAATTAAGAAGGTAAATATATTTTGATACATAATTAATGATAATTAGGATCGAAATAATAATACATAACAGTTCAAATAATAAAATCACAAAACTATAATAGTTTAGATGTATTTTTAATGTTATTTCTTTTTTAAATTTTGAATCTCTATTTTGAAATTTAGTTGACCGACGTTCATGAAAAAAAAAATTAAACTCCATTATCTCACGATCCTCCATTTGTGCCGTTCCCAACGGTCACATGCCGCGACTCGCTGCCCACTCGCCGGAAATGACTGAACCACGATCGCCGATTAACACCCCACCCGAAGAAGTACAAACATCGCAAAGCCCTAACAACATAGTTCCCGAGATTCCATTAGAAATCATCAGTGAAGAAGAAATGGCGATAATAGAAGCTGCCTTTGCAGCCTCGCGATCTCTGGTTAAGTCACCGTTCCGTGCTTCTTCATCGCCGGCGCATTTCCAGAACAACGTTAGGTCGATACAGTCGATTACTCTGTTATCGAAACGGAGTTTATCGAGTTGTTCTTCACAAAGTGATTCGTTAGTGGTTGATGTAGAAGATTCTGGAAGGTTAATGAGTAGTCAGAAGAGGAATAGAGTTGTCGCTTCGTTGTTGAGTCGGTATCGGAGGAAAAGAGGATTGGCTGTTACTGATATTACTGCTACAGTATGAATTCCGAAACTTTATACTCCATGTGTCCCAATTTATGTGACAATTTTTTTTATGATTCTGTAAAATTACAACTTGTAGTACTTTTGTACTTGAGCTAATCCAATTTAGCTTCAAAGATTAGTTAAATTGACTCTTAGGAGAAAGTGAAAAGTGCCACATAAATTGGGAAAGTGGGAAATACAATTTGGTGTGGTAATGTTTACAAGTTGGTGTCTTTTGATGTTGTAGTTTGAAAAGCTGTGGTTTCCTGATGTTCCATTGTTTGAATGTTTAGAGGAATTTTGAATTGCTTGCTGAATTGTTGCTTTGAACATGAAGGCGTATTATCATCAGATCTCCTATTTTATATGACTTTATTTGAATGATTATATAGTTTAAGATATTAATTTGACTTCATTTCTTAGAGTGGTATAGTGGACGAAAAAATCGAAGTAAAAGTGTGATTTGATAGAGTTCAACTATTGAATAGCCTAATGAACTTGAATTATTGAAGTTGTGAATTATCTAGTAATCTTGGCACAGATAGATATTGGTTGGACATGTTATCTGAGTTGTTTCATGGACAGACTTGAGTATTGAGATGGGGCGGGATGAAGTAAGACTACTCATCTGGTTTATTATTAAGTTATAGGATGTAGTATGATGTTTAGTGCAAAAGATGTATTTCATTATAGAATCACTTGAGATATTGCGTGAGACTGCATGATTTTGAATCTAGATCAGACAAATGGCTTATTAAACTTCTAGCTGGTTCATTGTGCATCTACTGCAGTGAGAAGTGGCTTTTGTTATATGTCCAGAATATGTTGAATCCATTGACCATGTAGAAGAATTAACTAAGAAATAAAAATGATGTTCTCTCTAACAACTTAAGTTTTAGATGAGATGGTCACATAATTCAACCTAGTATCAGAGTAGGAAGAGGTCTGAATTTGAGTCTAACCATCACCCATCATCAAAAGGAATTTTCAGGTGCTTGGCCCACAAAAAAAGAAAATCAGGTTTACATGTGAGAGGGCATGTTGAAGACATAATTAAGTAAATAAAAGTGGTGTTTTTCTAACAACTTAAACTGTTTAGATGAGATGGTAACACAATTCAAAAAATCATATGTCTCAATTTCAATATTTCTCTGTAACAACTCTGATTTGTTGTTCTTTCGGTCTCAGGAAGCAGATCAGTCCTGTTGAGCATTGACCAATATGAGTTGCTGGACTTCCTCGAAATCTTGAACTTGTAGTTCTAATTTATTTTATTTGGTTTCTCTTCAATACCCTCTCATTGTGGATAAACTTCCTTTCTAGGTTACCCTACAGAGATACAGTACTAGGAATAGAACTATTCTATATATTTTATGTGAGAGTTTGGCTAGTGCAAATAGAAGTACTTGCTTGAGCCTTTCTGATGTAAACATTCCTTTTTTATCATGTTCTTGTGTTCTGCATTTGTTTTGTTTATATTTGCAAGTCATTGTGGGAGGAGAAAGTTCCCCTGAAACATGATTTTACTGATTCTTTATCCTCATAATCGCAAGTTGCCTTCAGGAATGGTGTGAAAAAAAGATGGAGTATACTCTTCTTTGTGGCAAACGAGAAAAGACCAAAGCTATGGAAGCTGGTAGCAGTCGTCATGAAGAACTTGAAGAAGAGGTATTCCCTCTAGAGAGTTTAGTCATCCATTTATTTTATATTTTAACTATCTCAGTTCAAGTGATTAAGGCAAAAGTAATTTGACAGGACATATATTTCGTATTGTTCTGTATGTTCGTTTGGTGAAGGGAGATGAAGAGATAATATCAAGACTCATGCCAAATTCCAAAATGTTTCTATATGTTTAAACATTTCCATTTTTGAAGTGATTCTTTTAGTGTACTCTTATTTCTTAGATTTCCTGTTCTCACCTTACTGTGAGTTTGAATTTGTGCAGGTGATCAAAAAGGTAAAAGTTCGTGTTGACTCAGCTGAAGATGTATGGGCATTAAAGTTCTTAAATTTCATAGTTGGTGCCAATCAATTGTTATTTGATGGATTGACACGTGAATTGCCCTTGTAAGTCTCTTTTTCATCTTTTGCTTGTTCATATTAATTCTTTAATATTCCTAGAAGTAAGTTAGTTGATAACAGTGTTCCACATCAACCATCAATTGTAGCTAATGAGCTTATTTACTGTGTTTCTATAAACCTTTTTTGTTAATCAAACAGAGGTGTTTGCATATTTAAGTGTCATGTACAAACTTCATGACCCAATAATGAAACACCTTGACCCTTTAATCTCAATTAAGAAGATGGTGGAGGTGTAAGAGTCACCACCATTTGATTCACTACTTTAACTTTTCAGCAACTTATAACTTTTGATCTACCTACTAGATTAGTTTGGCTCTGTTGCAGACCCAAAATAGAAAAATAAGTGTCTCATGTCTAACAACTTAAACTTTAGCAATCACGCAATAAAACATACTATCAGATTAAATGAAGGTTTTCAAGTCTCACTGCTATCTATTTATTAAAAATAATTTTCACTTGTTTGGGGAAAGGAAAAAAAGAATCAAACCCACATGTTAGGATGCATGCTTGCAGGTTAAGAAAAACAAATGTGTGTTCTTGTCCAGTTGTTTTCCTGTAAAGTACATATTTGTCCCCACTGGTAAACACCTATTGACACCTGTGACCATTAGGTGCATTTTCTTGCTGCACTTGTGCATATAAGGGATTACTACGTGTCCATCCAAAGTTGCGTGTGATTGAATGCATATCCTCACATTAATCCACCTCAACCTTTACTTCTGCACATGTAGATGGAGCTTCCTTGTTAACAAGTTCACTGATTCCTGCAAAGTAGAAAGAAATTATGAAATATTCTTTATGATTTGCATCCTCATTAGCTGCTGAGCTAGTTCATTTGGTTCATCAGAGTAGGTTTTGCTGAAGGTGTATGGATGGTGGGAGTTATTGATGAGATACGAATGCCGGAAGGACAAAGTGATTCATATCCAAAGTTAGTTGACACAAAAACACGAGCGACAGCTAGCCTTCCTCGTGAACCGCAACGGAGGAACGGAAGGTATAGTTTTTCACTGAATGTTGAACAGTTAAGAAACTTTAATATGGTGCATCTCTGAGATGAAGAGAGATGCACATATCTAAATTTCTTTACTATTCAAAATGTATTTACGGGTACAAAATCTGATGAACTGATGGCCTTCTATGGCAGGCTTCAGCTAATGTGCTACAAGCATTTGTGGGACAGCTTGGTGGCTGATGACTTCCCCTCCCGGCAGTTCTTTGAGTTCTTCTCTCTGAATCCTAATCACATTTTATCTGCAGAAATCAGAGAACGTACTGCCAAATGTGGTTTCGCTGCTGAGGTATTACCCAAGAAGGAAAAAAAAAAGAATGAAAAGTTCTTTAGGATTATATTATTTCTTTCATATTTTAATGAAAAAGATAAGTAGAAATGGTATGGAAAGTTTTTTAGGATTATATTATTTCTTTCATATTTTAATGAAAAAGATAAGTAGAAATGGTACATAATTTGAAGAAGTTGTAGGATTATTAGCCAAGCCGCAAAGCTACCTTTTTCATGCATGTGGAATATCATGAGCCCGAAGCAGACAATTTGTTTGGCTCCTAAGCGAACTCTTAATAATTGTCTTGCAGTTAGCAGTTACTTGAAGGCATAAACTTGAGTTCTCTTAGGATCTACCCTCTCTTTTCTTTTTCTCAAAAAATTTACTTGTTTGGGACTGAGGGGCGTTACTGTTGTATTTCTCTAAATTTTCCCTTTCTGAGAAGCCTTTTCTTCATCCTTCTTCCCAGTGTGATCAAGACTAGAAACGGAGGTTCCAATGATCATGATGATTAATTATTTCAGGATAAAAAATAGATACAGCTTTACTTCAGTGCATATGACTAAAAAGAGTTTGTGGTTGGGGTCTAAGTCTTTCACAACACAACTGAGTAAGTGTCTAGTTTATTATGGATGTTGCAGATTCATCTTGGTTTCCTGCTATCAGAATTTTGCTGATGTTTTTAGCCTTTGGAAATATTTTGTTTATGTCTTATGTCGGTTCACATCCAACTCTTGGTTGTTAATGCAGACTCTCACTGATATGTTGAGGTACTCTCGTAATACTTGGTGCATGCTTCCACCAGCACATGAGCAACTATTGTTGAGGTGAATTGGAATTTCATGTAGCATGCTAATGTTTTGTATTTTTCAGATAGTACAATTTTCTTGTTTTTCTAATCCTCTTCTACCAATATTGCTTTCGTTTTGTTGATGACATCTTTCTCTGTTTCTCTTTTCTGGCTAGTGAGATGTCTGAAATTAACCTGTGAAATCATAGCTCTTCCATATTAGAAAGAAATCATTCATTTTAGAAAGAAATATGAAGCCCAACTTGAACAGAGTTCTTTGGCAAAAAAGTAGATAATCAAGGTTTGACTACATTGAAGACCGATCTTTAGAGATTATTATCTGATGGCTCATAATTTATTTGCTTCTGCATGAAAAGCTCTGAAGACTCGGGAGATTGCCCTCATGTTTCTATGCTTTCATCCAGTTCTCTATATATTTAATTTGTAGTACTTTTTTTACAATTAGATAGGTTTATTTGTCTTATTTAATATTTGGTATGAAAATCACTTCCTAGCCAATACATGCACAAATTTCACCTTTAAAAGTGACAAATTAGTACAATCAGTTGCATAATCCAAACCAAACAGGTCCAAGAAAGTTCATTTGCTGAAAGCTTCATTTCATGCATTAGAAGACGCACTTTTACATATTAGATGTTAGTAAATCTTTTGGATTCTCTTTTCTGCAGGTATGAATTTCAAGGAGATCAATCATTGCTTGGTGAAGATCAGTTTGAGTATGATCTTGACTGGGTAAAGGGTCAAATAAAGTGTTCGTTAGAGGTATGGCAAGGAGAAAGAGAAGCCAGTTACACCCCTGAAGACGAACGATGGAAATGCTGGTCTTGCAAGTTTGCTTCTGAATGTCCAGCCAGTAATTCTTGCTCTCCAAGAAGAAAGGACACTGAAGGCTAACTGGTACGTTTGGCAAATTGCATTGGTAGTGTAAAATTCATTTAAACTGTTCGTGAATATAACTTAAAACTCTTTAATAAACTTGGCGTTACACAAAGAAGCCAAACAGTATCTATTAGTATTACTCCTAGCTGTAGGTACATTCTGAACCTGAAAATTCATTGTTGTACCATTTTTCTTTTCCATTGTATGTAAATTCATTTATGTTGTAATTGTTATTGAACCTCAATTCATTCTCGTCTCATACTTTATTTCGTGTAAAATAACATATTAATTTCCGTATAAGTTATATTTAAATTAGTAAGTATTCTCAAAAGAAGCAAAGACGACTCCCCTGGGTACTGACTAAGCCATGAGAGATGGCATACAGGCGTCCAACCAGGCCCTGGACGCGATACAACATCATGCTTTCTAGAGGTGAATCGTGAGTACCCAGACGATAGCAGGAAGATGCACAACTGCAACTGGTTTTTCTGATAACTTGCAAACCTCATTTCAAGCAGCTCTAATACTTCACCTAGTATTTTTTGTCCTACAGAAGAAATAAACGTGTGTTCTTGTGAGTATCAGGACCCAACAATTCAAAAGAAAGGTAGGAACACCTATAAATAACAAGACTAGAATGGTCAAGAACGAACAATGAGAAAGTGAGGATGAACATAAGAGGCAAGTAAGATAAAATAATTACTTTACTTGTACTAATAAACATTAGTATGTGACAGAAAAAAGTTTTAAAAAAAAAGAGAGCAAGAAGTTTTTAGAAAGGATATCATGGGCATACCAGATGAAGTGATCATGAATCCAAATGTTGAGGGTTAAAGCAATCCTAAGTCGGTCCGCGCCTTTGCACAGACATGTAGATGCATATTCTCCATTAGCAAAGTTTGTCTCAAGGCAGATGATGGTACAGAGATGGACACTACTTTATATCGACCCTACACAATATAGGTGAGGGTGAGGGTGAGGGTGAGGGATAAGCACTAGATTTGGTCAATTCACCAAGCAGTGATAGACTACATCAATTCCTTTGGACCCTTTATCTCTGTGGAAGAGATGAGAAATGGGGAACAAAGACGAACAGCTTTCATGATTGTGAATAAGCCGAACAGCTTTCATAGACTGCAAGTTGAGGATGAACATTAATATTACATTAAGAAAAGAGAGTCTATGGAAGAGTCATAATAGTCAAGTAAGATGAAGAGTGAGATACATAACAAGAATATATGAACTGCTATTGAGATGAATTTCCAAAGGCAATAAACACACGCATGCATGGTAAATGATTTCTAGTTCATTAATATTACAATGAGCTATCAACTTTCTGGAGCAAATTATTTCAACTCCTGCCTATACCAGATTTCATCATCTACGCTTTGCGCTGCTCAAAGATTTAATCAAGCAAAAGCAATCAACAAGAAAGCAAAGGAAAGTAAACAAAAATAAGAAGCTTGCTGAGGAAAAAGAATAACTTACATCTATTTCCTTTTAATATTACAGGTATTTCCCATCAATATATATGGTGGGAATTTGAGAAATATTTGGCCAGTATTTCCCCTTGTCAAATTCTAGGAGTGGTTTGAGAAATGGGCAGTTGTAAATAGATAGTGTAGAGATGGAAGGGGGCATCCCTGATTCTGGAAGAGATTGGAGATTAGGGCAACAACGGATCTCTAGACGTTGAAGCGACGTGAGGCGGCAAAGACCTTGAGTTGATAGTGAATGGAGAGCATGAAGGTCATATAAATGTAGCTCAGAAAGAGAGGAGGGAAGCCCTTCTTCCAGCAGTGACTGAATTTGAGGTAAATTAACAGCATATAGAGATTTAATAGAGGTGAGGCTTTTGAGAAGTTGGCTGCTCAATGTTTTCAGATTGGACATGGTAAGACATTGAATAGTGCAAGGCAACTCCCAATTCTCATCAGCAAGAATCTCTTCGTCACTGCCATCATGGTAAATGCTTAACCCTGTGAGACAGAGAAGTCTCTGTAAATGTCACTCCTTTCGGCCATTCACCAGTTTCTTGCAATTATCGATCCAAAGTTGTTGTAAATTGAAGGGCAATCCTCCTTCAGGAAATGACTCTATTCCTGAACAATTATCCAGTGTCAGTTCCTTGAGAGATGGAAGGAGTTCCTGCATATGCTCTGGCAGCATCTTCAGCTTCTTGCAGTTGTAAATCTGCAATGACCTCATCTGAGTCCCACATGCCACTGAAAGTATCTCAAGATTCTTACAATCATTAATATAGAGATTTTCAGTCCCAGTAGGAATCAGAAGCCTTGTCAGATTGCAGCAACTACTTACAATCAAAGAGAGTGCTCTTGGGACTAACTCAGGTGATATATCATCTATAGAATCACATCCATATAGATGCAATATCTCGAGAAACATGTTAGAAATCATCTCACTAACTGGTGCCTCCAATTTCAGTTTCTTGCAATGATATATATGTATTCTCTTCAAGGTACTCGGCAGAATGCTAATAGGTAAGGAGGTAAGAGAGTGACAATCAATAATTACTAATTTAACAATCTGCTTCATTCCCTGAAGTTGAGATGTCAACACTTCAGCATTAGCAACAACTTTAAACCTTTTTAATTCAAAAAAAGGAGTTTCAGGAAACTTCTCGATCAACTTGGGGCAATCTTTAATTGAAAGGCCCTGAAGTGCAGGGAACTCTCCCTTCCCCAGTACACACCACTTCTCCAACTCCAGCATATCTGCAAATTTAAGCTTTTCAGAATTAAATGGCTTTTTGGAAGACGAACTGCCATAGAATTCATTGGTCAGCTCTGTTATTCTATGCATCCCTCTAATGGCAAGGAATTTCAAAGAAGGAAGCTGTCCCAATTCTGGCAAGGAATCACAGTCCTTGCAGTTGCTAAGAGATAATTCCACAAGCTTAAGAAATGAATGGTCAGAGAGCCAGTTTGGAAATTTTGTCCCTCTATAGCCAGTGATTCGGAGTTCTTTTATGTTTGAATTTGGACGTAGCTCATCAAGTATGCCTTTTTCATTTTGTGAACTCTTGGCAATACTTGCCCCCCACTCCAACGATAACTTTTCAACATGTTCCTTTTCCTTCATATTTGCCTTCAGAGCTTCCGTACTATCAACCACATTTTGCAACTCTAGAATTGATAGAGATCCACAGAAGTTATGTACTTCACCCAAATCCCCAATTCTCAAACTACTGGAACCAGTAAGAAGAAACTTGGCTCCAACTAGCATATGAAGGCTTTTCAACATGCTCAGATGTAGCGGCATTTTCAAGAGAGAAGTGCCACTAATATCAAGGTGACATAAATGGATTAGCTTTTCCATCTGCAGTGGTAACTCCTGAAGATAATAACAATGTGACAGGAGAAGTGTCTCTAAATTATACAATACACAAATTGTATCTGGCAACTTATTTATAGTTGTCCGAGAGAGGTTCAAAAATCTAAGAAGCTTTAACTTGATAAACAAGTCATTTGGCAACTCCTTTATCTGATAATGAGACAATGATAGTGCCCTCAAGGATGTTAATCTTGGTAATATGTTATGCAACACCCTCTTGCTTAGCTCTAAGAAGGTATGCTCCTGGATACTGATTGGAAGCAATGTCCTCAGCTGCTCCGAGTTGCCGAGTTGTTTCAACTTTTCAAAGTCACCAACTCCCATTGAATATGACAAGTGTAAACTTTTTTCCAACATGCGAGATCCTTTGTTATCTTCCAACCTGGTACAAAGTTCTGAAGATGCAATTTGGGCCAAATCATTAACAAGGTCATGCATTAAAAATATCTCTGTGTTCCCTTGAGATGACTTTGAAACCCTTTCAAATAATGATCTTGACCTCAACTCCAGAAAGTACAGGTTGCCTAAATCTTCAATTGTTTGATCTTTTTGCAACCCCTGTACTAGACCATTAGCATTCCACAGTCGAATGACTTGTTCTTTCTGAAATGGATAATCTTTGGGAAATAGTGCACAATAAGAAAAACATCGCTTTAAATGTGCGGGAAGATCATTGTAGCTCAACTTCAACGCTGCTAATATATCATTGTTTGGAAGCTCCCATATTTCACTTCTCAAAATACGTTTCCACTCTTCAACTTCTGGTTTGGAACGTAACATGCCAGCGAGCGTCTTTAGAGCTAAGGGCAATCCATTGCACTTAGTTGCAATTTCTTTCCCAACCACTTCAAGTTCTGGATGCTTCTTAGGATCTATGGTTTCAAATGCATGTCTTTTGAATAAAGATCAAGAGACTTCACTAGACAAAATGTCCATTCTAATTTTCTCATCATCCATCATCGAGGCAACCCTTTCCTTGCGTGTCGTCACAATGATCATACTCCCTACATCTCCTTGTACGAAAAAATTTCTCAAGTCATCCCACTCTTTATAGTGTCATTCCATACATCATCTAGGACAATAAGAAACTTTTTCTTCTTTAAGCTTTCCTTCAATTTGACTTGAAGTTGATTCAGATTGTTATCAACCATTAAGCCAAATTCTTGGAGTAACTCCTTTGTTATTCTGAGAGCATCATATGGTTCGGACACACAAATCCAAGCTTTGAAATCAAAATGTGTTTTCACACTCTCATCATTGTAAATAGCTTTAGCAAATGTTGTCTTGCCAATGCCAGCCATTCCAACAATAGGAATTACTGTCAATTTCTACTTTTCGCATCATCAGAGGTTAAACGGCCCACCAATTCCTCTATTTCATTCTGCCTGCCAAAGATTTCAGACTCAACAACCACAGAAGTTGAAAATTCTCTTTTTTCTTGTTTACCCGAATCAAGATATTTTGTTAGATCAAGGCAACTAATCTGCGTTTCCAACTCTTTCAATGTTTCAATGATGTCTTCCAACTTCTGCTTTATGTTGAGAATAAAATCATCAGTCAAGCACAAGTTGAGGTCACTTGCCTCGTTGTTGCTTGTTTCTCCAAGATTTTGATGCTGACCTTCCACCTTTAGTCTCAAAACCTCGTAATTGACTTCTTCTATTAAGTTTTCAGCACTATGCACAGCATCTTGAAGCTCGTTAAGCCACTGGCTCACATATGGATTTGATGCCTGCTTATTCT